GAATCTACAGTTGTGGTGAGTTTTGTACTGTTTGCTTAGATCAGTTTCCTCCAGTTCCTCCGCTTTTTCTATACTGAATTTGTTGGTTGTACCCAACTAATTAATAGGAAACTGTTAGAATCTATGCTACCATACATACTTATTTGGTGATTTTTTAAAATTATATTCTTAGTTGTTATTAAGAAAGGATTTATATTCCCTGTGGGCTGATGCTATTCTCTGTTTATTATTTGGTCAAATTTATCATTTCTTCTGAAAGTGACATCTTAGTTTCAATTTAATCCACTGCTTGTTTTATCTATTTTTTTTCTCAATCCAAAGATCTCTATTAGAGCATTCCTTGCATTCTTTGAATAGACAAAGCTTTGGCAGTTTTCCCAGTATGTCTTAGAAAGGAGTTTTAGTCACTTTCAAGGCATTCTTTCAGTGCCTTGTGAGCAGTAACATCTGGTGAATAAGCTTCCCTCTGAGTCAGTGTTTGTCTGGAAGATTTGTTTAGAATCCTGGCCATCTACTTTTGTAAAGCAGTATCCTTGGATGTTCATTTCAGAGCTGATTCATTTTAGTTTGGTCAATGATTCCCTCCTCTCAGTTCTGTCAGTTGGAACCTCCCATTTCCATCTTGTGAGTTTGCTAGTCAATCATATGTGTGATACAGAGACCATGAAGGTTGCTTTTCTGTAATGGTGGCTCTTTAAGTGGCCATATGTACATTGAGCTACCTATCCATTCTATGACTATGCTTGTAGATATTATGGGTTCTCATAGCTTCTGAGATTATTTAAAAAATGAGGGGAAGGCAGGATACGCACAATAAAACTCTGCTTCTTCTAAAAATCTTTAATACTAGAACTTCCTTGAGTGAGGAGCTGTTCAGGCATATCTTTTATATTTCTGAATGTTGAGTAGAATAGAGCTGGAAGGGACCTTGTAGTCCAGCTCCCTGCTCAAGCAGGAGAACCTATACCATTTCAGATAAGTGACTGTCTAGTCTCTTCTTTAAAACCTCCAGTGATGGAGTGCCCATGATTTCTGAAGGCAAGCTGTTCCACCGGTTAATTGTCCTTACTGTTAGGAAGTTTCTCCTTAATCCCAGGTTGTTTCTCTCTTTGGTCAGTTTCCAACCATTGTTTCTTGTCCTGCCCTCTGGTGCTTTGGAGAATAATTTGACCCCCTCTTCTTTGTGACAGCCCCTCAAATACTAGAATACTGCTATTATGTCACCCCTATTTCTTCTTTTCTTTAGACTACCCAAACCCAAGTCCTGCAGCTGTTCTTTATATGTTTCAGTCTCCAGACCTTCAATCATCTTAGTTGCTCTTCTCTGAACTTTTTCCAAAGTCTCAACATCTTTTTTGTGGTATGGTGACCAAAATTAGTTGCAGTATTCCAGGTGTGGTCTTACTAGGGTTTTATAAAGCAGTACTAATACTTTGCATGATCTTGATTCTATGCCTCTGTTTATACAACCCAGGATTATATTAGCTTTTTTGGCTGCTGCTGCACACTGTATGAATGTATAGATGGCTGTTCCAGAACCAGAGTTACAAATAAGTAACCTGTCTTGTTTTTTGGAAAGCAAGGAAGTAATTCCATTTTTGCTGTTCTCTGGGTATATTCAGTGCATTTTCCAGAGTTGTATATAATGTGGAAAAGGTTATTGGATGCCTGGGGAAATTTCCTTTCTTTTTGTTTCAATACATTACTTCTTATGCTATTTCAATATTGTTACATTATGTAATTATTCACAAAACAAATTTCCACTTAAGACAATCAAGGCATTTAACAATATAAAACCTGCTACAATGCAGAAAAAGTTAGAAAAACTAAAGATAGATAGTGTCTACAAAGGGGTGTGATGGTATGATGGACTACAGTGGAACAGCAGTTTCCCAGGAAGGAGGGACATTCCAAGGACCTGGGGGAGAGGCGAGTCAAGAGACAATACAGCCCAAAGCTGGATTGGAGACAAAGGAAGAAAGTTAGGATAGCTACTTCCTAAAATCTCCCAGGGTATTTCCGTTAGGTTGAGAGTAGTTGAGGTTTAGTCTGGCAAGACTGAACAAATAAAGGACTGAACTTTGGCTGCTGGATTGTCTATTTTGTTCTTGGCCTGGGCCTGACATATACTGTCAAAAAAATCAACAGCTAAATATTAGCAAATTTTGCAAACTTAAGTGTAGAGGCATAAAGCCATCTTTTTCCATTATTTTTATTTAAAATAAATACGATTTTTTTTTAAAAAGTAATATTTATAAATGGAGAGATAATCAATTTAACATTAGTAAAGGTAAACCATGTTTGTGAACTCTTTTCATAATATTAGAACTATAAATTTTTGAACTTAGTGCCAAAATCTTCACTATATTATTATTCCTAAATGTTAAAAAAACATCAAAAGGAAAAGCAAAGCAAAACCCTCTTAAGAGTAACATTGATAAATATCTAATTTCTGACTTCCCCTTTCTTTGTACTCCAAATGGTTTTTAGTACTTATTGATGTAAACTTTAGAAACCATACTCTAAATTTTTATATTTGCCTTGCTGATAATATTTTAATGTATTTCAAGATATATTATTTCAAAAATTAAGCATTTTTGCTTAAATTTATTTAAATTTGTGTTATTTTTTTATATAAATTTTATTAAAAGTTTTACAAAGAAGATAAAAACTAACAAAAAGGATTAGGTTAAAAATCATGTTCCGTGTTACCTGAGGGATCGCCTTTTCCCATCCAACTCAGTCTAGCAGAATGGGCATGCTGCAGATCCCTTCAGCCAGAGTGTCGGTTGATGGGGACTAGAAGATGGGCTTTTTCTGCGGTAACCCCTGCTCTACAGAACATCGTTCCTTCGGAGATTAGAATGGCCCCAGCCTGTTGGCCTTTCATAAGGCCCTGAAAACCTGGCTATATTCCCAAGCCTCAGGTGCTAAATGTGTCAAGGGCTCTGTTTCCTGGCTTTATTGCTAACTGGCCAAGTATGTAGGCTGCTATGTATATTTCTTTTGGATGTTTTTGTTGTTTTTTAATGTTTTAATTGTAATATATTTTTTGAATTGTAAGCTGCCCAGAGTCATTGACTGAGATAGGTGGCTATAGAAATTGAATAAATAGATTTTGTAGTTATGTAGATAGATAGGTAGACAGGCAGGAAGACAGACAGACAGACAGACTGACTAAAAAAAAGGGAAAGAGAAAAAAGTGAGAAAAGAAATTATAAACAGAAGAGGCTTCCAGTTTCCTTTGCAGCAAATACAAGTATGATTACAAAATTATTGATTACTTTATGGTTACAAAAATAAACTCTCTTTTTTCCTATTACCTAAAGTTTTTGCAATAATCAAAACCACAAATCAAAAGTTCATTTTTTTCTGTTTCATTCCAAAAGTAAACAAGGGCTTTCCAGTCAGCAGTGAATATAAATGTCTTTTTCTTAATCAAAGAAGTGAATTTAGTCATCACTGCAAATTCCATCATCTTCAAATATTGCTTCATTATGGGCAGTACCAAAACTTTACACCTTTGATCATATAATAATCTTGCTGCAATAATAATAATAATATGTAAAAACCATGTTCCATGTTTTTTTTACAGCTGATTATCCATCAGCCTCCAAAGAAAAGCCTCTGATTTGATTTGTACATTTTATGAATTAGTGCATGTCTTTATTTATTTCCAATTTTGGGGGAGGGGGTTAAAAATGATAAAAATAAAAAAGAGATTGTTCCCTTATCTTTTTTAAACTTTACTTAAATCTTTTTACTAAGTTATTGAATTCTTAAAACAAAGTCTCTATTCTTTGTTTTTTTCTTATTTTAATCCCAAAAGTAGGTTCATTTCATCACAAGGCATTCCATCTTTGCTGCAAAGGAAAGCTCTCCATGTTTGTAGATTAATTATCTCCCAAAGTGATGAAGAAATGAAGAAGGCAGGGCTTAATGTCCATATAGACTACCCTGCAGTTAGGAGCATAGATGGAATCCTGGGACTGCAGGCAGATCTACTCCCAAGCTGACTGCAAAAACTTATATTTCTGCTTGAGGAACTGCTGCCCAGAATGCAGATAAGTCATCTCACAGTCTTCCTTTGACCAGCAAGATTACGCTGGACCATCTCAGTTTTTCTGCTCCTTTGGAGACATCAGCCAGCCATAATTACCCACTAGATTTTCTCACTTCTGTTAGTTTTGCCATTGCTACATATTCTGAAGCTTTAAGTTGCTAATCTGATATAGCTGGTACTGTTATTTTTTCAAGTATTTTGCAATGTTGTCCTTGCAGTTATAAGCATATACAGAAAGAACTTTTCTAGCGACCACAATTGGTAACAACTTGCTCATTAAGCAAAGTGGTTGCTAAATCGTAACTGTGAACAGTCGCTAAACAAGGCAGTTCCTGAACAAGGATTACCTGTATCTTAATAAATTATGGCATTTTTATTGATAATGGAATTATCAGTAAAGAATACTAGAATTTTGCCTAGTTTTAAAAACTGGTTTTATTTCAAACTTGATCCCTAAGGTTCTCTGAATGGTGCTGTGTATTATTACTTGAGGGTTTTTTGTATGTCCATCACATATGATAGTGTTTCTTCTCTCTCATGGCTTTTACAGCAATTATTACCATATGATTTGTCTTTGGCTAAATGAAGTTGTATCATCACTGTATCTATTGTATCTATTCACTGCAGGATGAAGGTCTCTTCAGCATGTTTCCAATAAATATAGTCCTGAGCTTTCTTTTGCCAATTGGGCTCGCAATACTTGCTGATGTCATCAATCTATCTTGTTTTAGGTCTCTTTTATGGATGCTTTTTATCAAGTGGGATCCATTCTATGACTGCCTTGGTCCACCTGCCATCAGTTCTTCTTGCTATGTGACCAGCCCATTTCCATTTCAATTCTTTTACTCTCTTGACAATATCGTATACTTTCGTTTGTTCTCTAATCCATGTGCAGGTCTTTCTATCTTGTCTTGTAATGCCGATTATGTATATTTCCATGGCTCTTTGTGCCAGCTTTTGTGTCTATTGTGAGGTTAGTGTCCATGTTTCACTGGCATATGTTAGAGCACGTAGCATACACTGATTGAAAACTTTTCTCTTCAGGCATAGGGGAAGGTTGTTCTTGGAAACTACGCTTAGCTGGCTGAATGCCTGCCAACCACATTTAACACGCCATTCAATTTCCTTTATTGTATCATCTTCCACTGAGATCCATTGGCTAAGGAATATGTAGTTCTTCTCTAGATACAATCTTTCTTTCTTTCTTTCTTTCTTTCTTTCTTTCTTTCTTTCTTTCTTTCTTTCTTTCTTTCTTTCAAATGAAGTTGTATACTATCTATAAAATATTTTCTCTTCTCTCTTCTCTCAAACCATTTTTACACAAATAATTCCTGACTTACTGTCACAATTGGGACCAACAGTCTTAAATAAGAATACTGGTCGTAAGTCCTTTTTTCAGTGCTGTTGTAATTTCAAGTGGTCTCTAAACCAGGGGTCCCCAACCCCTGGTCTGTGGACCAGTACCGGGCCACAGCATGCCAGCAATTGGGCCACACAAACAAGCAAAGCCCTATCTGCAAGATGCAAGCAGCACACAAAACTACGCACCCTCTGGTCCGCGGAAAAACCTCTCTCCATGGAACTGGTCCCTGGTGCCCAAAAAGTTGGGGACCTCTGCTCTAAACAACTAATTGTAAATTGAAGACTACCTGGATAGATTTGTTGAACCATTTTTTTCATTGTTGCATTGATACTGTTTCTTTGAAATTTTGTGTCAAATTTATCACACATGCTTTTTTCTTTGTTCTGTCAACATACCATATCTAAGGAGACCTTTATATATAGTTGTATGTTCTGGCCTTCACTGTACTTTTAATCTATTCTGTTGTGTGGATCTACCATGTTTGCTATGTAGTGTTTTTTGCTTGCTAATTTTTAACTGAAGAATATTTAAATATTACCCTTTTAGCAAAGTATTTTTAAAAAGTAATTGGGGATATATTTGCAGATTAAAAGTGAAGTAAATAAACTGTACAAGTTACTGGAGATAGATGTTGATGGAGTTTTTAAGTCCCTTTTGCTGTTAAAAAAGAAGAAATATGCTGCTTTGGTTGTGGAATCAGCCGGAGATGGAAAATACATTACCAAACAAGAACTTAAAGGATTGGACATAGTGAGAAGAGATTGGTGTGATCTTGCAAAAGAGACTGGAAAGTAAGTAGCTCTATGCATTCTACTACTCTATTTTAATAGAGTATTTTTGTATATACAGCATATTAAATATTGCTATGTTAATCTGTATTTCTAAGTGCACTATAACCATTCAACTGATAAGCAAGTTTCTAATTTTAGTTCAATACTTTATAGCATTTCTAATGAGGAATATTTTAAAAAAGCCGTTCAATAAATCTATATGGAAGCCAGTTGGCAAGTATTAGTAAAATGCTATATATAGGGCAGAACTTGCCATTGAGTAGAATTTCTCAAGTAAAAAAAAAATCCACATAGAAAGCCATTTGTTTCTGAGAGTTATGCCTCCAAATGAATAGTTATGCTAGAGAGAGCAAAAGAGGTTGAAAAAAGTCTGATCTGAGAGTGACTCCCAGTAATTTAAGCAGAAGTGTTCCATTTTTGTACAGAAACAGCAGCAGAAAAGGCAATGAAGTGCAGCCGGGGAATGGCAGGTAGGATGAGTGTGGTCAGAAAAGTTAGGGAAGGTAGAACCTGACAACATGCTGATTCTTTTTCTCATAAATGTATGTACTTTGTTGAAATAGTAATACTGACAAATAATTCTTGTGTTCAAAACTACTGAATTTTGTAAGGAATTAAGAAAAGCTTCAGGTAATGAAAATTTCACTGCACGTTTTCATTGGGGAAGTTATGTGAAAAAGTTTAAACTAGTAGAGGAAGTTGAGAATGTAATTTTTTAATGAGATGGACAAGAACAGAGTAAAATGTACATCCTTCTGATTTGCAAATCCATTTTGTTTAGTTTTTCTACAGTTAGATGAGAATAGTTAGCTTTCTTTCTTTATTCATTGAATAATTAAAAATGAATACAAATATTTTCTGATATATTTTAATAAATTTGTAATTATAACTGGCAAATATTTAATGAGAATTAAATTGACGGAATGGACAATTGATTAATACAGTCCGTTATAACATCAATTTTAGAAGATATGTGACTAGTATAACATTGGCTATTACCCTGCATTCTTTGCCAGTATTAGTAGCAACCAGTAATTTTTGTGGAGAGCTTACAGCAACTTAATGGGATTTATGAATATGCTGTGAATTTTATAAAGGTATATTATCTTAATGTGTGATATCTTATGTTTTTTTTACAGCTATATAATTGGCCAGATCCTTTCTGACCAATCTCGAGATGTAATTGTAGAAAATATCCAAAGAAGGTTAATAGAAATTGGAGAAAATGTCACAAATAACCTTATTCCAATAAAACAATATGAGATCAATAAGGTGATTAATATTGTTTGTTGATATTATACATAAATCAGTTTGAATATATCCATGGAACTCTCCATTGGTGTCCATTTCTTATGTTGATAACAGCTACCTTCATAGTAAAGCCACATGGTTCAGAAACCTACAAATATTTTATTTATTTATTTTAATTCTAACATGAGCATGTAAAAATGTATGTCTTGAAGGAGAAATAATAAAACAGGATTTCTCTAAGCTATCCAGAATTAAATTATTTAGAATTTTGAGTAATCCAAACAAAACCTGCTTTTTTCTATATTATTATATATATTATCTCTAAAATTTTCTCCCTTAGTCTATATTTCTCAGCCTGTGTATTATTACTGCTTATAAACTTATATTTCAGCACATTGACATTAATATATTTCTGGACATGCCCAGGATATGTCTTGGATGTGTTCATTGTTTAAATGAAAGCAGTGTTTTTCTAGAAAGGGGAAGGAATAAGTAGAGTGTTACTTCATTTTTGCAATCATGATTTTCTTCTCCACTTACTCTGATTGTAAATTACTCTTACAGTAGATGGGTAGAGTAAATCATGATGGTAGACAGGAGAAAGGTAAGAATAAAGATTTTGCTGAAGAGAGAATCCTGCTTTTATTTTCAAGCTATCATTGCTATTGGCCATAATAGAATAATAAAGCTCTCCTGCCTATATATATATTGTATATATAAGCACATCTAAATACATGTTAAAAGTGAATGTCCACTATGTCATGGCTAGGAATCCCAAATTATTTGTTAGACAGAAAACAAGCTGAGTAAATATGAAATTTTAATGTTACATTTTAAGAATGATCAATTGCTTTGGTTGCTTTGAAGTATTTATTCTCCTAAAGACAACCTGCAAATGTTCTTAAATTAATTTAGCAAATGTACGTAGTTGCCCATCTATCTAAATGAACTCTGAGCAGCAAAGCATTTTCTTTTTAAAAGCAAATTTATCCCTAGGCTTCATTTGATTTGATTTTGATTTTATTTTATTAAATTTATACCCCGCCCTTCTCCCGGAGGACTCAGGGCGGCTTACAGCCAGTTTAAAACAATGATATAATACAATACAAAATTTAAAAAGATTAAAAATAACTATTCATGGCAATTATTTGAATTGTAAATATATTTATGATTTTTTTTTGATATTGTAAGCCACCCAGAATCACCTTGCAGTGAGATGGGCGGCAAACATAAATAAATAAATAATTTTTTTCCCTAGAGTGGCAGTTAGAATAGTGATTATGACAATAATTTTTAAATGATCACTTAATGTTACAGTATTCTGTATGGCACATATAATTCAGTAGCACATTTCTTTGACCAATAGGCATTGACAAAAGATCCCCAAGATTACCCAGACAAGAAAAGCTTGCCTCACGTGCATGTCGCCTTGTGGATGAATTCTCAGGAGGGTAGAAAGCTGAAAGCTGGGGACACAGTGTCATATGTTATCTGTCAGGTAAAAGCATTCTTGCTATTTTTAAAGCATCTTTTTCCCACTTAGAAACAAAAACAAAACTAATCAGTATAGTATAATAATGGTAAATAAATATTTCACTACTTTTTATATGCTTTTTGTAAATGAAGGACAGAGCCAGTCTGGTGCAATAGTTAAAGGCGGTGGACTACCAGGAGATTGAGTTCTAGTCCTGCCAACCTAACTAGTTTTGTGGCAATCGCTCACTCTCATCCTAAGAAGAAAGGCAATTGCAAACCATTTTTCCAAAAATGTTGCAAGAAAACTGCATGGATTTCTCCCAGCAGTTACCAGAAGTCATGACTGACCAGAAAGGGGGAGGGGGAGAATACAAATTGTGCCAGTAAATTCATTCATTCTTTTGATGAAGGATGGATCAAATCTGAGTGCCAGCCAGAGAGCATATGCTCCGGAACAACTGAAGAAACAAGCAAATCTTACTATTGATGTTCAGTATTACTTGTCACAACAAATTCATCCAGTAGTAGCTCGTATCTGTGAACCCATAGATGGAATTGATTCTGTTCTTATTGCAGCGTGGCTTGGTAAGTATTGTAGTGTTGATTTTTCAAGTACTTATTCTTAATATTGATACTGTGTGGCAAATAAAAATGTGAAAATTCATATGTGTTATGAGAATATGTCTTCGTGTTATTAAGCCTATTCTTGGGAGAAATCAAGAAATAAAATATGTGTTGTGTGGGTACATTTATACAGTATACATCTATATATGACATATAATAATTAAAATCATCTGGCCTAGTGAGACAGATATTTATGAAACGTTGAAAAATTGAAGATTACTCTACAACAATCCCATAAGACAGGTAGTCCTCGACTTACAACCACAATTGAGCCAAAATTTATGTTGCTAAGTGAAAAATTTGTTAAGTAAGATTTGCCCGATTTTACGACTTTTCTTGCCACATTTGTTAAGTGAATCATTGCAGTTGTTAAGTTAGTAACATGGCTATTAAGTGAATATAGATTCTCCATTGACTTCGCTTGTCAGAAGGTTGCAAAAGGTGATCACATGACCTCAGGATACTGCAACCGTCATAAATGTGAACTAATTGTCAAGCATCCAAATGTAAATCACATAGCTATGGGGATGCAACGATCATAAGTGTGAAAAATGGTTATGTTACTTTTTTCAGTGCTGCTGTAGCTTCAAACAGTCACTAAATGAACTGTTGTAAGTCGAGGACTACCTGTACTAATATTTTGAAATCTTATATGGCCTTTCCTGCAATCTTAAACTAGCAGCAGAAATGTCCATCCATAGTTTTCTACTGCTCACAAATTCTTTAATGAAACTAGCCCAGTTATGGTAAACCCAAACTGCTGTTAAAACAATACATTGCAATATTTTAAACATATACAACAGGTTGTCTTGTTCTTTAAATATGTACCCTATATTTTGATCAGATGGTACTTATGGAGCCTAATGGAAAAGATGAATAACATATGAAACATCAATCAGTGTTTTGGTTAATCAGTGCTTTGGTTATAAAGTAATTATAAGCCAAGTGCAGCTTGATACTTTAAATAGAGATCATGATGTTAAATCCTGTGTCATTACTGACTTTAAAGGTTAATTCTGTATTAAGAAATCCAAACCAACTTAATCCATATTTCTCAGGAAAGATTTTGGATTAGTTTATGAGAAAGTTATCTAGTTGGAATATTATGGCTTTGTTCAGACTATCCTAATCTTGTCACCTCCAGATATGATATATTTGAATTCTCAGCTAGGATATCAAACTTTATGCTAATTGGAGAAGTTTAGCTTGTTTGTTGAAGGGAATAAACTTAGAATATTTCTATAGGTGAGTCCTACTAAAAGTGTTTATGTTTCTATCTCTTTTGAAGAAAGACCTATAATCCAAATGATACGAACTTGTGCAAACTGCTGTTAACTTTAATGTCTTTTTGCAGATACATTCAAACCTGTTTTGGGGTATAATAGTGATGGTTACTTCTTTCAAAGAATAGTTTGATTTCAGAGGAGTTTTTCATTACTGAAGACCTAATTACTGTATAGGGCAGTAATATTTCACTAGTGTAATATCTGAGGGATTTCAGGAGGACCAAAGCCATGTTATTATATGCATTATATTACAAACGGCTGTTTTTGAGCCTGATTTGGCTTTTAGAAATCAATAAATCAGGGGATTTTTTTTTTGCAGAATTTCAGAATCATTACTGAATCTTGTATGGCAGGACCCTTAACCGTTATGTATTACAGCTTCCAAAAGATAAAGGAAAGAACCCTCCAATAAATAAATATAGGTAGTCTTCCTTTAGAGACGACAACTGAGACCAGCAACTTGATTGCTAAGTGTGGTCACAAAGTAAAGCTGAGACTATGCTTATGATCTTACTTCAGTTTTTTATTTATATATTTTATTTATTTGTATCCCAGCTTTATTATTTTTGCAAACAACCCAGAGTGGAAACATATCTAACACATCTTCCTCCTCCTATTTTCTCCACAACCTGTGAGGTGGGTTGGGATGAGAAAGAGTGACTGGCCCAAAGTCACCCATCTGGCTTTCATGGCTGAGGCGGGACTAAAAACCATAGTCTTCTGCTTTCTAGCCAGGTGCCTTAACCACTAGACCAAACTGGCTTTTCTTTGCGTTAACAGAGCTGGAAACATCATAAATGTGAGGATAGGTTGCAAAGTTATTTTTTCATTACTAGTGTAACTGAACAGTCACTGTACAAAACAACCGCTAAAGAAGGACCACCTGTAATTTTATGGTAGCCAAAAAGACATACCTTTGCTTGTCTTGACTATGCAAACTGCCACAAGCATCCCTGGGCAAAGCAGAGTCACTGTGAATATTCATTCTGGATTAGATTTTGCAACCTCCTCCTTCGACATCTTCATGTCACTTTCCTGGGGAGAGGGATCATAGCCCAGAGTAGGAGAGCTGCTCTAGGAAGGTTTGTCACCACTATAGTTATCTCTTCAATTAGCAAACTTAATTGTGGTTTTACATGATGTAGGTGGCATCATATAAGGAAAGTTAAAATAAAATAAAAGCAGTATGTTCATTTCAAATAAATATAAAAGAGTACAAACTTATGATATCTCATATGTAAACTTGGATTTTGACCATTTAAAATTTTAAACTAAATTTTGTTTTAATTTTGAGGATCAGTGGAGCAGTATCTATTGGTCTTGTGAGCATAGAATTGCCAATTCCCCCCCCCCCCCGCTTTTAAGTAAAGTTGGAGTTAAACAACAAAACTTTATTTATCTATTTGTTGTTTGTTATTGTTTTAGCCAAATAAATACATTTCTACTGAATACAATGTTACAATCAATTTGCAAAATAGCAACCTTTATGTATATCATATACATTTTTCATAATTTAATATTTTTTAAACTTGAGTTTTGTAGGGTGAATAATCATGGTCCAAGCACTTGAAAACAATTGTTATTTTTAGAAATTCAGACTGGAAACCTCTAGATGGCAGCACTAGACACTATTTTCAATTTGTTTCTCAAAATATTTCATGAATTAAGCTACAAAGTGATTAACTTTAAACTTGCATATACAGAAGTAAGGCTTTTTAATCAATTTATTTTTTAAAAAATATAATTTTTGAAATAATGCATCTAATTATCTTGCCAATTGAAACTCAATAAAATTTTGATATAGGTATATGACTACTAGGCATAATTATCCTAGCAATTATTATATAATAACTTAACAAATATTATGTAATAATTGAGATTTTACATTTTTATATTTTCCCCAAGGTGTGATCAGATCAAGGATTACTGGGCTTTTACTGCCATTAAATGACAGAATATAATGACTTCCAACATAATACATCAGTTTGTGGTTAAAGTGATTGTTTGACTTTACTTCCCATAATTTGATCAGTTATAGAAAGCATGTGTGAGAAAGTAGATTAGAAAGAATTTTGACAGAGGCATCCACGATATAAATATGAATAAATTTTCTGGGTTTAGATATTCAAATCGGTCCTTGTAGATTTGAAATGTGCTATTAGCTAACTTAATTTTTTCAAGACTTTGGAGATACTGAAATTATTGCTCAAAAGTGAATTAATGCAGCAAGTAATAATTGTGATAGAAATACAATGTTATTATTTATTTGAAATTATACTTCTAGAACAGTTGCCTTTCTGTTTATTTAAATGCTTTATTGACTCAGGATCTTGTTTGTGATTTTATGGCATTAATTGTTGTTGATGGGATTTTACCGACATAACTAAATTTCTACTGCTAAATCTGTATCTAGTTGTTTTTTTAATTACCTGTGCCGTTCTTGTTATTAATTACAATAACCAAAGTGTAAATATAGTTCAAGGTTTTTTAAAAATTGAATTTAAAATATTACAATAGAAAATAATTTTCAATAATGTTTCAACTAGCATTCTTTATTGAAGGTGTGTGTATGTTTAAATAAAATTTATCATAGTCCTACTATCTGTGATTGATAATTGATAATCAGAATTTCAATTCATTTTATTAATGGTATTTTAAGAATCCAAGTAGATAATATTTTATGGCAATGACCTTCTAAAGCATTAAGTAGATAAAATGGGTACCAGTTCTCAGAGTTCAATTCATTAACCAGGCTCCAGAATAGAATCAGAAGTCACAGTGATATGTATGAAAAGCACTGTATAATTGCCTCAGCAAAGGTGGTATATAGCTTGCACTCCTAATAAACACATGAACTAAATTTAATTGAATATTGAACATTCTTTTTAAGAAGGTCATAAAATTAGACAGAGATTAGTGCCAAACATAAGTATCATCAAATCAATGAATTTAAACAAAGAGATCTTTATCAAAACAAGTTGTGTATATGACAAGGATAAATGTATTTTACTCTGTAGAAAGTACTCCTAATTTTATTCCTCACTGGAATAAATTCTTCTCTTTCATCACTAGAAATAGAAATGCTTATGGAATGTATATTGCCAAATTTTCTTGAGGTAAAATGCATATTACTCCTTCCTTCCTTCCTTCCTTCCTTCCTTCCTTCCTTCCTTCCTTCCTTCCTTCCTTCCTTCCTTCCTTCCTTCCTTCCTTCCTTTAAAATATGGTTTGTCTCTGTAGCAGTATTCATCTAAATTATTTTTTCTATATGCTTGTCTGTTATAGTATTCTTTATTTGAGAATTTTAACCTATCCTGCTGCTTATTGTACATTTCTAAATACAAAACATATTTGTACAAAAACGAATAGTAGGTGCTCATTTTTAAAAAACTTTCTGGATCCTAGTAATCAAAAGTGCTTTTTTGTCTTCAATTCTGATTTTTTAAATGCTATTGCTGAATTTTAACGACTGCATTAGATTGAAACTACATGCTGTTAACCACTGAGCCAAAATGAAATCGACCACTGCATTGAAGTCTGAGTTGGCAGTTGTGTACAGTCTTAAAGAAGTGTCTAATAACAGTCCAGGCAGGCTTCTTTTAATGGGTTTTTATATTCTCTCTTTCATTTTAATGATGCCATTCTGTTTTCTAATAAAGATGCACAATTTTATTCAACATTCTCTGTGTTACTTAAGAAAATAGCAATAAATCTATTCTCTAAAAGTAGCATGTTCATAAACAAATGTTCTATTGCATACTCCCCATGATAGTTTATGCATTGTGCTTGCTTTATTTATAAAGCAATTTTGTGTGAAAAGATAGGTAATTTCATCATGTTGCTCGGATCTTTATTCTAGGTTAAAATGAGAAAATGTATTCTTTTTTTTTAAATATCTCATTGTGAGAATTCAGTTCTATTTTAGATTTTGCGACTCTCATTTGAAGCTTGTGTGGCAAAGAATTGCTTTCTTTAGACTTTGAATTTATATTTCTTATTAACAGGAATGGATCCCTCACAGTTCAAAGTCCATCAACATTACCATAAAGATGAAAAAGATGATTTGCTTGGTGGCCCAGTTCAGCAAACTGATGAAGAAAAATATAAAGACTGCAAGAGATTCAAGTTTGCTTGTCCAAAATGTGGGACAGAAAATATTTATGATAATGTCTTTCGATACTTGGTTAGTATATGGTGTTTACAATTTTTGAACAGAACTCTGCTTTGGACAAGATACTAAGTGAACCCCTCCCCCCATATTAGAGTTTTAATAATGATTGGCTTTTATATATTAACCTCAAATTAATTTTGCCTGTTTTTTTCGTGTCATTTTGGCAATTGTGCAGAATATTTCACATTGCTGGTACTCTCAGACTGCCCAGTTAATAAAGTCTATTTAGATGACATTTAGTTATTCTAAATCAAACTACTTAAGAGGACAGGATTTTTTTCTGCATAACTATTTGTATTTTTACATTTCTCTTTTCCTTTTATATAGCAGTTTCATAAATATTATCTTTCCTGCTGTCTTTATACATCAGACATAAAGACACATCGGGTGAATTCACGTTCAGAAGTACTGCCAAAAATGTATCTGTGACCTTGGATCAGAACTTGAAATAGAGCCAGCTATTTAACTCCATTGCAATGTTATGCATGCACTAGTTATTGGCAAATTAGCAGGCTGTGGGATAGTGAAAACCTTGAAAGTTAAAGCAAATAAATTCTTTATCTAAATTAAAAGTAATTATTTTAAGTTAATTTGGACAAACAGCAGATGTTCTATGTTCTTTGAATCAAAACAAAGCAGTTGTTGGAAGCAAGTGAGAGGAAAAGGCAGACAGAGATCAGCCAATACTTGGTAAATCCTTGACTTTGTTTCATTACAGCTGTAAATAAGATAGTTAATTGCATAGAGGCTTGACAACTTACAGATGGTCTAAGTGTAAGAAGAGCGGATGTCAAGCTCTGCAGTCTTTTCCACCTGGAATTACTTAATGCTTTTAGTGCAGAAATTGTTGGATTAGATCGTAAAAGTACAATTTTTAAGCAGTAATAGGAAGGGGAATCTCAAAGTCTGTCTGATATCTACAGTATATTCATTATGAATTTTTATTTATGTTAGTCTCGTTTTTGAGAGATATATTGAAAATTATGTTTGGGTACCAAGTTTGCAAATGTTCCAGTAATATTCATGTATTCATTGTAGCATGTAAAATCAGATGTCAACAAAATGCTAAGATAGAGGTATAACTTTGTATATTTTAAAATGTGTTCTTGCATGAGATCCTATTGCAAAGTTGCTTTCAACATATATACCCAAATTTTGATTTTGATTTTGATTTTTTATTTCCAGGGTGGAAAGCTTAAAGCCAGTGTGCTATGCTGTAACCCAGAAGGATGTAATGAAAATCTTTTAAATTACTCTATGCAGTTTAACAACAAGTTAATCTTGGATATAAGAAGTTTTATAAAAAAATATTACAGTGTGAGTAACTTAGTTTTAGTCTGTATTTAACCACATGTTTTCCTGATTGAATCATTATATTTAATAAAAAATGACCTGGTTAAATGACATGTTCTTGAAATGCTAAATCATGGTTTAATTAACCTGGAATAGCATTAGGCTGATTTGATCCTGCCTCATATTCTACCTCCCATTCCTGACTTAGTTTCGTAAGCATCTTAGTATTTTGGTTTCTTAAATTTATGAACTAGGACAACTAAGAGTTTAGTTCAGACCAAGATATGAGAAGAGTTTTTTTATATATCGTTATTTAGTGGAAGGTCTTAAATAACAGTTTTTAAACTCACAGAAATTAAGACTTGAAAAATCAGTGTATTTTTCCAAGCTGTGTAAGAAGTTGGTGATTGAGGAAGGGGGCATATTATCATACTGCTTATCCCTAATATACTGGTATCTCACTGAAATTGTATTCTCTGAACCAGTCTAACATGTTATAGTTGATGCTAGTTTTGGAAATTTAATTGAAATATTTTAAGTAAATTTGAAACAGTATACAAATCACTTTTGAAGTATTAGTATTATTTTCTGAAGTACTTCAAATTTCAGACTAATAAATGATAGCATAGAGGCTTATTTATAAAATGCTACAGAAGATGCAAGTACCTTTCTGCAGCCATTTTTCTCATAGTGATAAAAAATCAAATCAAAAGAAGTCTTTATTATGGTCAAAGACCAGTATCTAGTTAGTGAAATGGTTGTATTACAGGTAGTTTGCATTAACAGTAGGAAAATTGTATTTGCTTTCTTAAGTCCCTTTGTCCTATTTTTCAGCTGAAAATCAATTGCATTAACAATCGTATTTCAAGTTGAATTGATAACATAGTTCATGCTGTCAACATTGATACAAAGGAAGGAAAAGAGAAACAAACCCAGATACCGGGTATTAGTGACTGCTATCTTAGGTGCTTTTTTTGTCAACAGAAGAGTGAACCTGCTTCTTCTCTGGTTGGTGTATGGGGTCAGAGTGACCTCACTATTTCATGAAGTTTTTTCTGAGAAGCAACCACTAAGCTAAAGCTTTCCTTTAATTCCCTTTAGGGTTGTAGTTTCATAACTGAAATGTTGCAAAAGAGTACACTCAGAGAACTTATTCTGAGAATTAATATGATATTGTAATAATTTTAAAAGTTTCTTCCCTAATTAAAATTTTAAAAAGTTTTCCAAAAATAGTTGCAAACACATACTGAACTTAGCATAGCTTGATGAATTTCAGAAATATAGACTGTGTTATCCAAATAGAAGTAATATAAAAGTGGATTAACAATAGCACTTATAAAGTAGCATCTTTGGAAATGCCATAAACTTTTAGTATACACTAGTTTTGCTATTTAAAAATCAATGACAGTGCCCTTTAAAAATGCATTTTCTAGTTTGGCAATATATTAGTGTTTGGGGAAATATATTTAATATGGGCATAGTTTATTTGGTTCCTCTAAAACAAATAGAATTAAAAACTCTAGATAAAGAGCATAAATTCATAGGATTATGTGTAAATGGCCAGAGAAATTATTATAGTTCCTTAAGTTTTGTTGTCCAATTATCAGTATAATTAAACCTAATGTATCAGAAATTCAGTTAATATACTCAGTCTTCTATTTTCAAAATGGAGTTTCATTACATGGACTTCTGATGAACAATCGTTTAACCCACTGAGTAGATCTGAGGAATGCAAGGGAGAAAATTAAAGGAAGAACAGTGTTTTGTTCCTTCAGCAGAAAAACACAATTTGATACAAAATTCCTATTATTTAAAGAAAGAGTTAAAACTTAGTAAGATATCATATGTATATATCATATATCATAAATACAGTGTTTATGTATTTTTACAAAATTGTATAATACCACAAGTTCTGGTGTTGTTGCATAATAAGTGGGGGGAAATCACTTTTTCCCCCAAAGAGTATCTTTGAACTCTGCCACCAACATGATTGCCCCTAATTAGGGAACAGTGTTTGTTTAGAAGACTATGACAAGACATGACAATGTCTTGATTTCAATGTTTGTTCAGTTCTGTGAGAATTGCCAACTGCTAAAAATATCTGAATTGTAATAGTTTCTTAAAATGTAATTTTTATTTTGAAACTATACGAAATATTACCTCCAGTGTACTTTATTATAGAGATGCTGATTTAACATATTGCTGGAAAATTAATTTAAAATGATCATGACCTAAATTTAATACTTGTAATTTTGTTATTCTCATATCAAATTTGTGAATATGCTTATGCTTTACTATATATTAATAGAGAATGTCACTAGCATTTCAAAATAGCTGATTTCAAGTTGATGAGTGTAGGTTTAGATATTAGTAATATATAGTATGTATTATAAAAGAACACATTAAATATAATATATTACCAATCTTGGTTAGTGTTTCCAGTGTATTCTGATGAAAGAATGTTTGGAGAATCTTCATATGTTTTAACTTGTTCTGAACCACCCAGAATCACTTACTCTGTGAGATGAGCAACTATATAAATTAGATAGATAGATAAATACTGTAGATAGATAGATAGATAGATAGATAGATAGATAGATAGATAGATAGATAGATAGATAGATAGATAGATAGATAGATAGATAGATAGATACCATCTTTAAACTAATTTCCTGAAGGATAAGGTAATTATATTTTGTTGACTTTACGAATTACTAAAAAATACCCGCCTGTCTGTCTGGATCTGAAAGTCCCATAGGATCGTAGCCCTCTTATACTCCACAACTGTCTGTAGGATCTCCCATCTAGACTTAGGAGGGTCTAGTCTATATTCTCTATAGATGTTCCTGTACAGATTGCCAGCTACTTGGTTGTACCATTGAGCGTTTGCTGTTCCTGCTTGCATCTCATACTCTATCAATATATGTTGGACTGTCTCTGAGGCCTCTTTGCATAGTCTGCACTTTGGTTCATGTCTAGCGTGATAGACCTCTACTTCTATGGATCTGGTACTTAGTGCCTGTTCTTGTGCTGCTGTGATCAGGGCCTCAGTGCTATCTTTTAGTCCTGCCACTGATAGAATTTCCCAATGTCTGCTACCTCAGCTATCTGTCAGTGGTATGTCGTAGAGTCTTGTCTTGCCGTGAAACTTCTGCTTGATTTTTTCCCATGTGTGCTGCTGTCTCAGGCATTCTCTCAGCAGCTTATCTTTGGGTCTTACTGATGTGCTCCTGCATGCTATGAGTTTCATCCATGACAGTGGCTTTGACATTCACCAGGCCTTGTCCACCTTCTTTCCAGCTGATGTACAATCTCTTGATGTTGGACTTTGGGTAGAAACCTCTGTATATTGTGAACTTGGAATGGAAATCTCTGTATATATTGTATATAACATTTATAATGTATTTTGTGAATTTCTTTAAAAGTAGCTTTGGTTCCTATTAATTAATAGTGATTATTAGCAGAAATATGTTCTTTCCAAGTGAACTACTTTCCATAAGTTCCTCCTCCTTTCTTTCTGCTTTTGATTTTCCTTAGATCTTTGCTTCTCCTCACAACTTTTCCTAATGCCATTTCTTTCCTTTTCACTAAAACCTCTGTTTATTTCTATCTTGAATTTAGCTGCTCTGTGAAGACTTTCCCAACCAGATTGGCATTTCACAACTCCCACAGAATCTAACAGCCATTCTTAATTGACAGTTCCACAAGATTACCAGTTGATTTCTGATGATACTTCTTTTTTGTTCACTTATTTCCAAGAAATATTGAACTAAGAATGTGAGGAGTAAAGAAGAAAAAATTATTCAGAGTGGGCTGAAGAGGGAGCAACTAAGTGCAAATAGTGATTGAGCATTTATCGGACCATTAAGATGAAATTCGGAAATATGACAGTTTTTTTATTTTCCTATTTCATAACATATATTATTGAGTATAGTATAATATATTTTATTTAGCATATACTTCTATCTAGCCAGAATACAAGGCCTATTTTCTCTCCCATAACAAGCACTTTGTGAGGTAGATTGGATAGAGAAAGAGTACCTAGAATGGCTCATACCTAGTGTATTTATGTAACTGAGGATGATCATCTGGGTCTGGCCATTTCTAGTCTGATACTTTAGCTAATACACTAAATTGGTTTCATTTTTCTCTTATTTCTCTGAAAAATGAAGGAACTCGGACAAGAGAACCTAAGAAAACATGCGCTAGTGTGCTATTAGACTATGACAGTTGCCACTTAATCTTTTAAAACCTTCAGTGCTAATTAAAATATGTGTACTACAGTGTTAACGTAACTTTTAAACAATCTGTGTATATGCGTATCTGTTGGTTTTTCTCTAGCTCTCAATAGTTTACTCTGGTGTGCACATATATAAATATTTTGCATAATTTATGTTGCATCTTCCCTAGGTGTTCTTCCTATAGTCTGCCTCCCCCCCACACATTCTTCATTCAGTTACTATGTGAGTTTGGGTGGGGATATTAACAAGGTCAAGGGCATGCAATTAATTGCATAGATAAATGGAGAACTAAACTTGGATCTTTGTCTTTCTTTGTTAAATTCAGTGCCAGGAAATGAATAGGTTGGGAACCCTGCTATCTTTGTATGAGTTGAAACATCTTCAGCCACAAAAGAGGGGAAAATATTGGAATCAAATCAGAATTATAATTGATAATTTAATTTGTTCAAACCCTTTGACCTGATTATTAGAAAGTATTAGAAAGTAAAATACCAATTAAAATGATTGTAATTAGATTTTTTTATTTCTTTGTTTTTCTTCCTCCCCACTTCCCATCTTCAAGTAGTAGTGATGTAAAGTGCAACTTCAAAGGGTGTGCTAGTACAATTGGCAAAGTATAGCTTCATTGAAAAATCTATGATGTAATATTGATCTATTTTCAGGTTAGAATTTGCTGTTGATTATTTCATACAGAAATGTTATTACTATTAGTCTGTGTAATACCTGTGCTTATATCAGTATGTGATATTACTTTGTGGATCCATTAACCAGTTCTTCATTGTCTGCTATTTTGAGGTAGACTGATGTTTTTATTACATATACATTAGGAAAGTATGAGATCATTTGTCCCAGCTCTCAACTCCAAGTTCAGCATTTGAGTCCATTAATTTGAATAGGACTTTTCAAGAAGTCTCAGATCTAATTTTTATTTCTTGATATTAGCTGAGATTTTAATTATGACTACATGTGTTTTATACACATAATTGTGCATTCAAGCCCAGTCTGAAATTCAGATTGCAAATACAGTTTGGTGTGGCTGATGACTATAATTTGCTTTGCATATACAGGAAAGAGTCCAGGGGAAAATATAATGTAAATGAAGTTCTTATATCTCTCTTTCAGAAGACAGTATTAAAACTTATTGACATACATTTTAATAGCGTTATCATATTGAGTGAGTGAGTGAGTGTAATGAAATTGTTGTTAATTCCTAAAGACCACATAGATTTTCTCCATGCTGATCTGTCCCTAATCTGTTCTTTCAGGTCTTCCAACAGTGTATTCACTGCCACAATAAGTGAATACATCCACCTTATTGCTGGTTGTTCTCATCTTCACTTTTCTTCTACTTTGTCCAGCACAGGAGCCTTCTCCAGAGAACTAGGTCTTCGTATAATGTGTCAAACTTGGATAATTTGAGCTTAGTCACTTGTACCTTGAGTGAAAATTCTGTGTTGATTTTTTTGATGATCCATTTGTTTGTTTTCCTGGCTGTCCATGTATTCTCTTCTCCAATACCAAAGGTAAAAAGTGCCCATATTCTTCCTATTCTCCTCCTTCTTCAAAGTCCAACTTTTCCTTCCAAAGAATGTCTCCATTGATACCTTCATTGTCAATTCTAGTGGTTCTATCTATTGACATTAGTGTGATCTTTATACTTAATTTTAGCCCCATGTTTATCTGTATATGTTGACTCTTATAACTTCAGCTTGTAGATCCTTTGTATTTTTAGGCTTCAGGATAGTATCATCAGCATAATGCCATAACATAGTTCATTGATGATTTTCCTCCAAGTTTAAAACCAGG